CAGCATAGCGTTTGGGTACTTACTCAAAAATACAACTCTGTTCTGAAAGATCTGAGAGAGCAGACCAAATGGGTATAGCCCTGTTTCATTGCAAAGACCGAGATTCATTTGAGGAATGTCTACACGAAAATGATGTTATTTATACCAAGCCCGAACGAGATAAAGTCTGAAAACTGTTAGCGGAAACGAAGCATTGTAAACTCGTATTAAAAACCGATCAACCAGCTGCTTATGCAATTGCTTAGCAAAAATAGCAGAAATATAGCAAAAATAGCAACTGCTAAGCAAAAATATAGCAACTGCTAAGCAAAAATATAGCAAAAATAGCAACTGCTAAGCAAAATTATAGCAACGGCTAAGCAAAAATGTAGCAAAAATATAGCAAAAATACGATGAATTGAACATTAGTGGTTATTATGTAATAATGTGGTTTGAAATCCTCATTCTTTCGCAACAGTTTATTTTTTCAGACTGTATTGGATATGCCATATTTAATTATGTTAGACTTAAATATCTCCTTAGGTATTACATTATGGAATGCGATGAACTCATCGAACAAATGCTCAAAGAACCTGATCAACATGCAGAAGAACATACAGATAAATCTTTAGATAAACATAGAGAAAGACTCACTGCTTTGGTAGCTGTTGGAAAATATTCCCAATATTTGGGGTAAAATTATACAACTGAAAAAATTGATAACATGACCGACAAAGAAATTAAAAAACTGTACTGGCGTTACGAGTCTAGACTGGGAGCTACCATGACTAAAACAATAGGTTCGGCTATGTTACAACTATACACAGTCGTAGCTAGTACCTTTCTTCCTATCCCGGCAGAACATCGCCCGTATTTATGCGAATCTCTCGAGAAAGACCCATTCATCGAACACGCTATAAGCGCAGTGAGCTGTGAGTTTTATCATATATACGGAATGTTCTTAGCTCCGGTAACCACCGCTTTAATAATGGCTAGGTATTGTCAATTTAAACATAAGTGCCCACTTACTAATAATGGAGACTCAAGTGACACCACAGATTGTGGAGACACAATCACAACAAGTAAATGAGGAAATACCAGCGATTGCGAAATCAGAAGCCAGAGTGACAAAGAATCCTTTGAAAATGGCAGCTGGGAGGAAGGGTGGGCTAGCGAGGAAGGCGAAACTAATGCATAATTCAAATATTGAACATAGTCATCCGATTAAAACTTGTGCTCCCTATGCACTAGGAATTGTTGGGCTTTGATCAAACTTTAGAACTGTGTATTTTCTTTAGTTTCAGACCGGTGTACGTTGGTATGAGTATTCTTGACTTGTCAAAACACTTAATGTATGACTTTTATTACAACGAACTTAAGAAGCAATACGGTGATAGATGTGAGGTGTTATATACCAACACAGATTCTTTGTTGATGGAAATACAAACCGAGGATGTATATAAAGATATGGCAGAAAAATTAGATATGTACGACACGAGTGATTACCCAAAAGATAATCCACTGCACAGTGTAGTAAATAAAAAGGTATTAGGTAAGATGAAGGATGAATGTGCTGGGACCCCTATAGCGGAGTATGTCGGATTAAGACCTAAGATTTATTCTATAAAGAAGTCCGATAATGGAGAGATAAGAAAAGCTAAGGGTGTTAAGAAGTATGTGGTAAAAAAACATATCAAACACGAACAGTATAAAGAAGCATTATTCAATGGTAGAACATTCAAACACGAGATGAACTCTTTAAGAAGTCACAATCATAGGATATATGGATTAAGAATGAACAAAACATCATAATTCCCCTTAGATACAAAGAGATGGATTGATAAGGATGGTGTAACTACCTATGCTTATGGTTATGGTGGTAAAACTGTATCTTTGGGAACTATGAGCACCTCTTCTCGTACAAATGCCCTGCCCGGTCCATCTTTAAGATAATAAAGAATAGGCTCTCCTTCTCTTATAACCAATCGACTAATGTTATATATCTTAAGAGACCAAATTGGATCGGTTGCACGACGTAGGCCTTTGAGTTACCCAAGGCTGGTGTAAATATCTTACGCTTACGCTATCAAGAAGTTTTTGTTCTTTGCCTCTCCTCGGTGCTGAAGATTCGGAAGTCACGGATTTCATTTTAATCGCATCGGATGGTTTCTTCCCGATTAATCTTGTTACTTCATTATTCAGCGCTGATACAACAGCTGATAATCGTGTCACCCATTCGGTTGATCTTAATCGTTCTGATTTCATTTCAATCCCATACCGATCGCCAAACAAACTTCTGCTAATGTTCACTTAAATCTTTCAACGATAGCTTGACTACGGTGGGCCCCTTTTTCACCACGCCTGATTTCGACATGGTGCTTTGTTAACAGTTTAGTTACTGATCCCATAAATTCACGACCAGGATCTACTTGAAATAGCTTAGGCCATTTTAGTGGTCCGCGTTTATATATGCGGCTCAGTGCATTAGCTACTTCTGTTGAATCTTTCGAGGTTAATGGCTCAGCCTCTTTGTATCGACTAGCCACATCCACTACGGTTAAAGCGTATTTATACATTTTGCGTCTTACCTTATCATGGGGAAGATAAAAGAGGTCAGCCTGATGAACTTCATTTGTTGTAAAAATATCAAACTTCTTCCTCGGTATATAACGCGGTGCTGTAAGTATATTTGCCATTTCACTTGTTTCTTTAACCAATCCTTGGCCACATCTTTAGATACCTTAGCCGCACTGGCTAATTTTTGTATTGCTCCTATACCTTTCCAATATCCTCGTGGGCTGTAGTAAATTCTATTCATTATGAATTAATATTGATGTTTCTTTTAATACGACTCATGACGATTGTTGAATCGCATCATCATTTTTGCATAAAAAATTCTATCTGTAGTAGCAGTATAGGTATATAAATCTGGTTCCAGTGGAAGTGGTCCAGAACCCCTATTACCTATACTACTACTATAAATCGGCATCAGTTCGACTAGTACAAGCACGCGCGCACACACACACACTATATATATATATATATAAGTGCAATAATCTTGGATGTGACGTTAAACCCCGTTTCACCTCACCTCACCAAAAGGTGTGGTCGGGTAGCCTAATGGTTAAAGGGTTCACTGGTCACGCCGAAGACCCGGGTTCGATTCTCGACATGGGTACAATGTGTGAAGCCCATTTCTGGTGTCCCCGCCGTGATATTGCTGGAATATTGCATTTTACTCACTCACCAGTATGATCACACATTTCTAAAATATACTCACACGCAAAAGAAATGCAAGTCGAGAATGCAGTATACATGTTATTTATTTTCAACAGTAAAGACAAGAAATACTAATAGGGTAAGATTGACAAAAATTTGACTGAAGACAGTTTAATGGATTAAGAGGCAGATGACATAATTGTTTTCAAATGTTAAGGGCTTACACAGTTTCGGGTCAATACCCCAAATGTCAGTCAATACCTGGTGTGACCACCATTAGCATTGATCACTGCCACACATCTCCTGTACATTGAATGGATCAGACGATTTGTGAAGGCCCTAGGGATCCTCCTGCACACATCCAGAGCAGCTGTGCGTAGTTGTTCATCGGCAGTTATAGGGACTGGGCGCACATTGTGCAGACGCCTTTGAACCTCATCCCACAAGTGTTCGATGGGGTTCAGATCAGGGCTGAGGGCTGGCCATGGTAGAAAACGGATGTTGTGTTGCTGCAGAAAGGCCATGGTAGCTCTGGCAACATGGGGACGAGCGTTGTCCTGCTGGAAAATGTGTTGTCGATGTGCAAAAAATGGAACATGGGGTCTGATCACTTGGTCGATATACCCCTGAGCAGTAACGCCGTGTCCCTGACCTTGACCAACATTTGGAAAGCACATGGGTCCATGTCTCGCATTAAGTCTAATCCCTGCCCATATCATGACGCTAGGTCCAACCCATGGATCCCTTTCCACAACGTTTCTGTCAGCGAAATTCTGACTCTTCCGTCTGCATCGGAGGCACAAAAGCAACTTTCATCAGAGAAGATGACATGCCTCCACTCACGATGACGCCAATTGCGATGACCCTGTGCCCACTGAAGTCTTGCTTGTCCATGCTGTGGTTGGAGAACAGGACCAAGTGCAGGTTGGCGACATCTGAGGTTGTTGGAACGGAGACGTCGGATCACACTGTCCTGGCTAATGTGTCGATTATGTGTTCCTATGGTCTGTCGAGCACTTTCACTTGCAGTTAGGAACGGATGTCGCTGGTGTTGACAGGTAATCTGCCGATCTTGTCGAGGTGTGGTGACCCTAGGACGACCGCTCCGAGGAAGGTCATCTGTGGTCTGTGTAGCATTGTATCGATGCAGGAGACGGTAAATTGTGGTCATGTTAACGTTGACCAAGGAGTGGTAGGTCTAAGAATCGGCCACAGTTTTATACCCACTACAGTTCGTGCATTTTCGATTTTGTGAGAAATGGGTGCATCATACCCACATATTCATTGGTGCGTTTTGGCGATTCGTTTTTTATGTTGCGTTTTTACTCGGGGCTTCCAAAATGCAACCAAAAATATTGATAACATCAGTCTTCACTACATGCTAAGACTCGTATCAATTTAAGGTTCCATGTTTGTTACCTATTTGCTTAAAACCACTTGCGTTCCTTTTGCGTGTGAGTATAGAATTTCACAGATGTTACTTGACACTTTGCATTTCATCACATTTATCCATGTGTACTGATCATGCAAAACTCAGGAATCAGCATGTTCTTAAGTTCCCTCGAGGTTGTGTCATGTGAATCTTACAATTTTCTTTCCATCTTGTCAGCTGAGTGTATGACAGCCCAATACATACAGAGTACAATCTACTGAAAAGTGATCAAAACCACTTCCTTATTTACTGTCCGACTTTGAATGTGAACCATCATTACTCCATATTTCACCATAGTCTCATGGTACCAATCAAGCAGCAACTACACATTTCATAGAGGCAATGAGAAGTGGAAATAAACAAACTTGGAGAACATGATCATTTTTATTCCACTGTAATATTACAATATTACATATTGACTCCCAAATAGGAATACACACAAGAACGTATATAAAAGAAGTACTTTTGAAGTAGAGAGAAAATCCGAAACAACCCTTTGCAAATTAGTTTTTTCCCTGTCTACCAAACAATTTCTTGCACATACAAATTCTGGATAAATATTTCTAGATTTTTCCTCCTTTACTGATGTATACAATATGACCTCGATTAGTGATTAATTACTCATCATTCGAGCGTTTCCAATCTAATATCAACCACTGTCGGCCTCTATTGCGTGTGTTGTGTAGCATGTGGTGAGTAATCTGTTCTTATAGCGATACATGCATTTACCTTAATAATTCTGTTAATTTCTAACAGCCCTCTCTGTCAATACTAAAATACATTCGCATATCTGGTCATTCCACTGCTACATATTCTTACTTTGTAAGAGTCAGTAAGGAGACATACATACAGTTTCTTGCTGTAGAAAGCACCAGGGCAATTGGGAAGTTTACGTTCATAAAAACCATTTACAATGACATCTTATTTTCTGTGTTAACATGCCAGCGGTAATGTGTTCGCTTTTGTTTCACAAAACTAAATAAATGACATAACAGGGGTCTTCTTCTCCTGACTTCAAAGTGCCTGAAGTGCTGAAAGTGAATAAAATAATGTCTTTACCTACTAACAAGCTGCATGTACCAAGTATTAGTTCTGTAATGCCCTGACAAGCCACATGTCCCAGGTATTAGTTCTGTTATGCCCTGACAAGCCACATGTCCCAAGTATTAGTTCTGTTATGCCCCAACAAGCCACATGTCCCAAGTATTAGTTCTGTTATGCCCTGACAAGCCGCATGTCCCAGGTATTAGTTCTGTAATGCCCTGACAAGCCGCATGTCCCAGGTATTAGTTCTGTTATGCCCTGACAAGCCACATGTCCCAGGTATTAGTTCTGTTATGCCCTGACAAGCTACATGTCCCAAGTATTAGTTCTGTTATGCCCTGACAAGCCACATGTCCCAGGTATTAGTTCTGTTATGCCCTGACAAGCTACATGTCCCAAGTATTAGTTCTGTTATGCCCTGACAAGCCACATGTCCCAGGTATTAGTTCTGTTATGCCCTGACAAGCTACATGTCCTAAGTATTAGTTCTACTATGCCCTGACAAGCCACATGTCCCAGGTATTAGTTCTGTTATGCCCTGACAAGCCGCATGTCCCAAGTATTAGTTCTGTTATGCCCTGACAAGCCCCATGTACCAGGTATTAGTTCTGTAATGCCCTTACAAGCCGCATGTCCCAGGTATTAGTTCTGTAATGCCCTGACAAGCCGCATGTACCAAGTATTAGTTCTGTTATGCCCTGACAAGCCACATGTACCAAGTATTAGTTCTGTGAAGACCTGACAAGCTGCATGTCCTTCGCAACAACACTGAATGGACCAGCAGATCAAGAAACATACTGGTACTGTCATGACCTCACCACTCTGCCGTGAGTGTCAAGCTGGACTGGGACTGCAGGAAGGGCACTGTATTTATCATTCCATTTATCAAGGGCTGTGCCTGCTTGTGTTTTCTGTTTCGCAGAGAAATGCAACCCTTTTTCGTTCCCATTCGTTGTCAAGCCTTGTCTGAGAGGCAAATTCGGATATATTGTGAGCTCATTATTCATGTGTGCATAATAGATGTGCCACATTGACCACATCGAGTCAGTCCTGCCTGACTTGATAAAACTGTTGTACCATTCAGACGGTTTCAGACCAGGCACCAATGGATGAAAAGAAGCATTAGAAGCTGCAATCTGATACCAATTCAAAAATCCAATCCAATTCTTCCGGCTGGGTGAAAATCCCCAAGTCCCTAATACTGGATAGCTGAAGACCACTTCTGATTGCGGTACCTGGAGCCATCCAGGATCACCAGAGTGCTTCATGCTCATCCCCTGTGTGGAATAGCCATTTATGTTGGCAACTGAGTCATACTTTGCATGAACTGCCTTCAGCCACTTGTAGAAGTACTTCGATACTGTGAGATCGTCTTCAAGGAAAATAGCGATTTCTTCAGTTTGCTCTTTTACTTTCCATGTACCAATCCACTGTCCGTATATTCCGACATGGCGTGTGTGGTTATGCACAGTAATAGTGCCAAACTTAAACTGGCACAGCAAGGCTGCTGTATAGGTATAATCATCTATGTCTCCGTTCTTTGAGCGGTCGATCCAAACATCAATGTGAACCGTGTCACCATAGTACTCGGCCTCATTCAACGATGCCAGGCACCTTGTCAAAGCTTCTGCTCGATTATAGGTGAGAACAATAACTCTCAGGTTTATTAGCTGAACACTGAAACTTCCCTTCTGGTGGCCCTCAGACGGAAGGTAGCGCTTTGACCAGAGCAGACGTGGGTGGAGTTTGGGCTCGCCATACACTTGTTTGGCAAATAGTATGTACAACAGTCTAAACACACCAAGTATTATTGTCGCAATGAATAAGAGACGTAGACACCGCTTCATTGTTAACATAGGAAGGAAGAAACCACAGGAATTATCCAGCTGGACATTCATGGCTGGTATGTTTGTTGTAGACCTATAATTATAAAGCACACAAATAGGTTATGCAGTTCAAGAGGTGAATCAACTCTTACAGCAAACAAAATAGTGCTGTTATAATTAAACACAAAAATAGAACCACAGCACTGTAGCTCATCTGGATATGCAACCAACAGTTCAGCATTAGTCAGCATCAATATTCAAATATGCTCTGTATACATATACAAAACAATCTTCTACAGTGTTTTTCAATTTGCATCAATGATTGTACGGTGTAATATTGTAGAAATTCATAACAATCCAGTCATAAATCTGTACCAGGCTTATGAATAGAGCACCGACTAGAAAACTAAATGATCCAGTCATAAATCAGTACCAGGCTTATGGATAGAGCAAATACTAGAAAACTACATGATCCAGTCATAAATCTGTACTAGGCTTATGGATAAAAACACCCACTAGAAAACAAATGATCAAGTCATAAATATGCACCAGGCTTATGGATAGAAACACCGACTAGAAAACTACATGATCCAGTCATAAATCTGTACCAGGCTTATGGATAGAGCACCGACTAGAAAACTAAACGATCCAGTCATAAATCTATACCAGGCTTATGGATAGAGCACCGACAAGAAAACTACATGATCCAGTCATAAATCTGTACCAGGCTTATGGATAGAGCACCGACAAGAAAACTACATGATCCAGTCATAAATCTGTACCAGGCTTATGGATAGAGCACCGACTAGAAAACTACAGGATCCAGTCATAAATCTGTACCAGACTTATGGATAGAGCACCGACTAGAAAACTAAACGATCCAGTCATAAATCTGTACCAGGCTTATGGATAGAGCACCGACAAGAAAACTAAATGATCCAGTCATAAATCTGTACCAGGCTTATGGATAGAGCACCGACTAGAAAACTAAACGATCCAGTCATAAATCTGTACCAGGCTTATGGATAGAGCACCGACTAGAAAACTACATGATCCAGTCATAAATCTGTACCAGGCTTATGGATAGAACACTGACTAGAAAACTACAGGATCCAGTCATAAATCTGTACCAGGCTTATGGATAGAGCAAATACTAGAAAACTACAGGATCCAGTCATAAATCTGTACCAGGCTTATGGATAGAGCAAATACTAGAAAACTACAGGATCCAGTCATAAATCTGTACCAGGCTTATGGGTAGAGCACCGACTAGAAAACTAAACGATCCAGTCATAAATCTGTACCAGGCTTATGGATAGACCACCGACAAGAAAACTACATCATCCAGTCATAAATCTGTACCAGGCTTATGGATAGAGCACCGACTAGAAAACTACAGGATCCAGTCATAAATCTGTACCAGGCTTATGGATAGAGCAAATACTAGAAAACTACAGGATCCAGTCATAAATCTGTACCAGGCTTATGGATAGAGCACCGACTAGAAAACTACACGATCCAGTCATAAATCTGTACCAGGCAAAAATGGATAGAACACCAACCACCATGGAGTACACTTTAAGTGGCAGCCTAGATTACCACCAGGGAGTTCATATCAGGTGTTGGCCTAGATTACCACCAGGGAGTACATATTAAGTGTTGGCCTAGATTACCACCAGGGAGTACACATTAGGTGGCAGCATAGATTACCACCAGGGAGTACATATTAGGTGTTGGCCTAGATTACCACCAGGGAGTACATATTAAGTGTTGGCCTAGATTACCACCAGGGAGTACATATTAGGTGGCAGCCCAGATTACCACCAGGGAGTACATATTTAGTGTTGGCCTAGATTACCACCAGGGAGTACATATTAGGTGGCAGCCAAGAATACTACCAGCGAGTACATATTAAGTGTCAGCCTAGATTACCACCAGGGAGTACATTTTAGGTGTTGGCCTAGATTACCACCAGGGAGTACATATTAGGTGTTGGCCCAGAATACCACCAGGGAGTACATATTAGGTGTTGGCCTAGATTACCACCAGGGAGTACATTTTAGGTGTTGGCCCAGAATACCAGCAGGGAGTACATATTAAGTGTCAGCCTAGATTACCACCAGGGAGTACATATTAGGTGTTGGCCTAGATTAACACCAGGGGGTACATATTAAGTGTCAGCCCAGATTACCACCAGGGAGTACATATTAAGTGTTGGCCCAGACTACCACCAGGGGGTACATATTAAGTGTCAGCCTAGATTACCACCAGGGAGTACATATAAGGTGTTGGCCTAGATTAACACCAGGGGGTACATATTAAGTGTCAGCCTAGATTACCACCAGGGAGTACATATTAGGTGGCAGCCCAGATTACCACCAGGGAGTACATATTAGGTGTTGGCCTAGATTACCACCAGGGAGTACATATTAGGTGGCAGCCCAGATTACCACCAGGGAGTACATATTAGGTGTTGGCCCAGATTACCACCAGGGAGAACATATTAGGTGTTGGCCTAGACTACCACCAGGGAGTACATATTAGGTGTTGGTCCAGAATACCAGCAGGGAGTACATATTTAGTGTTGGCCTAGATTACCACCAGGGAGTACATATTAGGTGGCAGCCAGGATTACCACAAGGGAGTACATATTAGTTGTTGGCCCAGATTACCACCAGGGAGTACATATTAGTTGTTGGCCTAGATTACCACCAGGGAGTACATATTAGGTGTTGGCCAAGGTTACCACCAGGGAGTACATATTAGGTGGCAGCCCAGATTACCACCAGGGTGTACATATTAGGTGTTGGCCTAGACTTCCACCAGGGAGTACATATTAGGTGTTGGCCTAGACTACCACCAGGGAGTACATATTAGGTGTTGGCCTAGATTACCACCAGGGAGTACATATTAGGTGTTGGCCTAGACTACCACCAGGGAGTACATATTAGGTGGCAGCCCAGATTACCACCAGGGAGTACATATTAGGTGGCAGCCAGGATTACCACAAGGGAGTACATATTAGTTGTTGGCCTAGATTACCATCAGGGAGTACATATTAGGTGTTGGCCAAGGTTACCACCAGGGAGTACACATTAGGTGGCAGCCCAGATTACCACTAGGGAGTACATATTAGGTGTTGGCCAAGGTTACCACCAGGGAGTACACATTAGGTGGCAGCCCAGATTACCACTAGGGAGTACATATTAGGTGTTGGCCTAGATTACCACCAGGGAGTACATATTAGGTGGCAGCCAATTACCACCAGGGAGTACATATTATGTGTTGGCCTAGATTACCACCAGGGAGTACATATTAGGTGTTGGCCCAGACTACCACCAGGGAGTACATATTAGGTGTTGGCCTAGATAACCACCAGGGAGTACATATTAGGTGGCAGCCCAGATTACCACCAAGGAGTACATATTAGGTGTTGGCCTAGATTACCACCAGGGAGTACATATTAGGTGTTGGCCAAGGTTACCACCAGGGAGTACACATTAGGTGGCAGCCCAGATTACCACTAGGGAGTACATATTAGGTGTTGGCCTAGATTACCACCAGGGAGTACATATTTAGTGTTCGCCTAGATTACCACCAGGGAGTACATTTTAGGTGGCAGCCCAGATTACCACCAGGGAGTACATATTTAGTGTTGGCCTAGATTACCACCAGGGAGTACATATTAGGTGGCAGCCAAGAATACCACCAGCGAGTACATATTAAGTGTCAGCCTAGATTACCACCAGGGAGTACATTTTAGGTGTTGGCCTAGATTACCACCAGGGAGTACATATTAGGTGTTGGCCCAGAATACCAGCAGGGAGTACATATTAGTTGTTGGCCTAGATTACCACCAGGGAGTACATATTAGGTGTTGGCCTAGATTAACACCAGGGGGTACATATTAAGTGTTGGCCCAGACTACCACCAGGGAGTACATATTAGGTGTTGGCCTAGATAACTACCAGGGAGTACATATTAGGTGGCAGCCCAGATTACCACCAGGGAGTACATATTAGGTGTTGGCCTAGATTACCACCAGGGAGTACATATTAGGTGTTGGCCAAGGTTACCACCAGGGAGTACACATTAGGTGGCAGCCCAGAGAACCACTAGGGAGTACATATTAGGTGTTGGCCTAGACTACCACCAGGGAGTACATATTTAGTGTTGGCCTAGATTACCACCAGGGAGTACATATTAGGTGGCAGCCCAGATTACCTCCAGGGAGTACATATTTAGTGTTGGCCTAGATTACCACCAGGGAGTACATATTAGGTGGCAGCCAAGAATACCACCAGGGAGTACATATTAGGTGGCAGCCCAGATTACCTCCAGGGAGTACATTTTAGGTGTTGGCCTAGATTACCACCAGGGAGTACATATTAGGTGTTGGCCCAGATTACCAGCAGGGAGTACATATTAGTTGTTGGCCTAGATTACCACCAGGGAGTACATATTAGGTGTTGGCCTAGATTAACACCAGGGGGTACATATTAGGTGTTGGCCCAGATTACCACCAGGGAGTACATATTAGGTGTTGGCCTAGACTACCACCAGGGAGTACATATTAGGTGGCAGCCCAGATTACCACCAGGGAGTACATATAAGGTGGCAGCCCAGACTACCACCAGGGAGTACATATGAGGTGTTGGCCAAGACTACCACCAGGGAGGACATATTAGGTGTTGGCCTAGACTACCACCAGGGAGTACATATTAGGTGTTGGCCTAGATTACCACCAGGGAGTACATTTTAGGTGGCAGCCCAGATTACCACCAGGGAGTACATATTTAGTGTTGGCCTAGATTACCACCAGGGAGTACATATTAGGTGGCAGCCAAGAATACCACCAGCGAGTACATATTAAGTGTCAGCCTAGATTACCACCAGGGAGTACATTTTAGGTGTTGGCCTAGACTTCCACCAGGGAGTACATATTAGGTGTTGGCCCAGACTACCACCAGGGAGTACATATTAGATGTTGGCCTAGATAACCACCAGGGAGTACATATTAGGTGGCAGCCCAGATTACCACCAGGGAGTACATATTAGGTGTTGGCCTAGATTACCACCAGGGAGTACATATTA